GCACCCGTGTGAACATGACCTTCCACGTGAGCCCTGTGCTCTGCACCCTTGTGAACGTGACCTGTGAGCCCCTGTGCTCTGCACCCATGTGAACATGACCCTCCACGTGAGCCCTGTGCTCTGTACCTGTGTGAATGTGACCTTCCACGTGACCCCCTGTGCTCTGTACCCATGTGAATGTGACCCTCCACGTGAGCCCTGTGCTCCGCCCCCCTGTGAACGTGACCCTCCACATGAGCCCTGTGCTCCTCCCCCCTGTGAACGTGACCTTCCACGTGAGCCCTGTGCGCCGCACCCCTGTGAACATGACCTTCCACGTGAACCCTGTGCTCTGCACCCATGTGAATGTCACCTTCCATGTGAGCTCTGTGCTCTGCACCTACAGAGGGACCGGAAAAGGAATCATTGATATGTGTCCTTTGAATGTTAGCTATGTTTTCATAAATCGCTTCATTTTGTGAATAGAAAGGGCATGGGGGCCCTGAGCCCCTGCTCATCCAGAGAAGCCTTACTTGATGTTTAGAATGAACTTACAAAATGGGAGTAGTTTGATATATGAGCAATTGAAAAGTTTCAGTCTGTGGTGAAAACTTGAATGATACAGCTTGTTTCTCTCAAATAAGCTACATCATTTTCTTTAAACACCACAAACATACGTTAGAGGCAAAGGCACATGTGAGAATTTAACCATTCAGCAACTGATTTGTGCACAGCATAGTCTGGAGACTGAGGGGATATGAAGGAGTCTGCTGACTGATCAGACAGATAACGGTATGCATCCAGAGAATAACACTGAATAAGAAATTTGAGACGATATTGAAGTAAGTTAACTGGTATTAAATATTAGTTGTATATTTGAGAGACTGAGACTATGTAGCAATGACTGTGGACTATGCACATTTGTGCTAAGCAGATGCAAATAAACTAAGATCGTTAGTACATGGATGGATGAGCTACGGAGGATGAAATCACCTCTGAAGGGATCACATGCATACACCTAAAATTATTACTCAGGTCTACGCACCAACCTCTAAAGCCAAAGATGAAGCAACTAAAGACTTTTAGCAACTTCTGCAGTCTAAAATTGAGTAAACAAGCAATCAAGATGCATTCATAAGTACTTATGATTGGAATGTGAAGGTTAGAGACAAAGAAGAAATATTGGTAGTTGGAAAACACGACCTTGGTGATAGAAATGACCCCAGAAATTGCATGATAGAATTTTGCAAGACCAACAATTTATTCATTGCAAATACCTTTTTTCAACAACATAAATGGCCGCTATACACGTGGCCTTCACTAGATGCAATACTTAAGAATCAAATCACTTACATCTGTTGGAAAGAGGTGATGAAGAAGCTCGATATCATCACTAGGAATAAGGCCAGGGGCCAACTGTGGAGCATACCATCAATTGCTCATGTGCAAGTTCAACTTGAAGCTGAAGAAAATTAAAACAAGTCCACGAGAGCCAAAATACAACATTGAATATATCCCACCTGAATTTAGAGACCATCTGAAGAATAGCTCTGACACATTGAACGCCAGTGAGCGATGAACAGATGAGTGGTGGGAAGACATCAAGGACATTATATATGAACAAAGCAAAAGGTCATTAAAAAGAAAGAAAAGACCAAAGTGGATGTCAGAAGAGACTGAAACTAGCTATTGAACGGACAATAGCTAAAGCAAAAGGAAGAAATGACAGGATAAAAGAGCAGAACAGAAGATTTCAAAGGATGGCTTGAGAAAACAAAGTATTATAATGAAATGTGCAAACACCAGGAGTTAGAAAATCAAAAGGAAAGAGTACACTTGGCATTTCTGAACCTGAACAAACTGAAGAAGAAATTCGAGCTCTAATTGTAATATTTAAGGATTCTCTAGGCAAAATATTGAAGACGGCTACCTGGCCAACTGCCTGGAAGAGATCCATATTTGTGCCTATTCCAAAGAAAGGTGATCCATCAGAATGCAGAAATTATTAAACAATATCATTAATATCACACGCAAGTAAATTTTTCCAAAGATAATTCAAAATAGTTGTAGCATTACATCAGCAAAGAACTGCCAAAATCTGGCTTGCCAGATTCAGAAAAGGACATGGAACAGGGGATGTCATTGCTGATGTCAGATGGATCTCAGCTGACAGCAAAGAATACCAGACAGATGTTTACTTGTGTTTTATTGACCACATAAAGCATATCGAAGGAAAAGCATTTGTGTGGATCATTACAATTTAAGGATAACTTTACAAAGGATGGGAATTCCAGAACACTTAATTGCACTCATGAGGAACCTGTACGTAGGCCAGGAGGCTGTTGTTTGAACTGAACTGCATGGTTTAAGATCGGGAAGAATATGCATCAAAGTTGTGGCCTTTCACCATACTTATTCAGTTTGTATGCTGAGCAAATAATCCAAGAACCTGGACTGCATGGAGAAGAACATGGCGTCAGGATTGGAAGAGGACTCGTTCACCTGGGATACGCAGACGACACAGCCTTGCTTGCCGAAAGTGAAGATGACTCAGCATTTACTGATGAAGATCCAGGACTATAGTTTTCAGTGGATTAGACTCAACATAAAGAAAACAGAAATCCTCAGCACTGGATTGATAAGCAATAGCATGGTAAATGAAGAGAAAATTGAAGTTGTCAGGGATGTCATTTTGCTTGGCTCCACAGTCAACACCCATGGAAGCAGCAGTCAAGGAGTCAAACAAGTTATTGCAGAGCAGATCTGCTGCAAGAAGCCTCTTTGTAGTGTTAAAGAGCAAAGATGTCACTTTGAAGACTAAAGTGTGCCTGACCCAAGCCGTGATATTTTCAGTTGCTTCATATGCATGCAAAAGTGGACAATGAATAAGGAAAACCAAAGAAGGATTGATGGATTTGAGTTACGGTGTTGACAAAGAATATTAAATATACCTTGGACTGCCAGAAGAACGAACGAATCTAAGAAATCTGTCTTGGAAGAAGTACAGTGGAATGGTCTTTAGAGCCAAGGATGGCAAAACTTCATCTCTTGTACTTTAGTCATGTTGTCAGGAGGAACTAGTCCCTGGAGAAGGGTATTACGCTAAGTCAAATAGAGGGTCAACGGAGAAAAGGAAGACCCTCAACGAGATGGATTGAGATAGCGGCTCCAACAATGGGTTCAAACGTAAGCAACAATTGTGAGAATGGCACCAGACCAGGAGGTGTTTCCTTGTGTTGTACATAGGGTTGCTCTGAGGTGGAACAGAGTTGAGGGAAGCTGACAACAAGTGAAGGAATTGTCTTAAGAAAGGAGACTGAATTTCTCTACCTCTTCCTTTAGTTGGAGAAATGGATTTTTTAAAAACTAATAAACTAGGGTGTGTTGAGATGAGGAGAGAGGTACCTGCAAGAACTTGTAGCAAGTGAGCGAGATCTTCTCCGTGACATGAGATGCAAGTTGTAAGGAGTAATGAACAGTATTGCTCAAGATGGAGGCTGAGAAAAGTCAAGGCAGGCTGCTCTGAGGAGAACGCCAGGGTGGGGTCAGTCAGGCTAAGTTTCTCGGTGTATATTAAGTGCCCAAGGTATCTACAAATGACACTTAATTGAAAGGGAAGAGCAGGGACCCATAATGGCTCAGGTCTGTTCTGTGTTGAGTCTTTGTAGTCATAGTTTTAAATCTCAAACACAGAACCAGAAAAACCTCTCAAAACCAAACTCACTGCCATCAAGTCGAGTCTGACTCAGTGACTCCATTGGGTTTCCAAGGCTGTAAATCTTTATGGAAACAGATTGCCCCATCTTTCTTCTGTGGAGCGGTCGGTGGGTTTGAACCACTAGCTTCTTGATTAGCAGCCAAGTGCCTTAACCACTACGCCACCAGAACTCCTTGCAGAAAAACTAGTGGGGGTTTAGGTTTTTGGTTTTCTTCAGGAATTTTTCTCAGTCAGTGGTTTCTTACTGGGATGTGGCTAATTTCCTCACAGGATTTGTTAGAATCATGACTGCTGAATGGCATGGCTGCTGTGATTTAAACAGTGCCCTCCGAAATCTTTTCCCACGAACTTCTGTACCTGCCAGGAGGTTTGGATATAACAATTTTAAGAAGTTTCTTCCCAAAGCAACTTGGCACTGTGGTTGCCAACCAAAGGTTGTCTTCTGCTATGAGCACTTGGGACTTCTAAGAAACATAAATGCATCTACCTTCACAAAAGTTTCCTTTTTTTTTTTTTGTCCTCCCCTAGGCCTTTAACAAATACAAGAGAGAGGGGTTTTGCCTTCAGAATGTCGATAAGGCCCCTTTGGCGAAGAGAAGGAAAATGAAAAAGACTAGCACCAGTACAGAGACACGCAGCAGCTCCAGTGAAAGTTCTCATTCTTCTTCCTCGCACTCTCACGGGAAAACCACACCTACGAAGACTCTGCAGCCCAGCAACCCCACTGACAGCAATAACCCGGAGAGCCTCTTCCAGTTCTCAGACTGAGAGCCACAGGAAGGGTCGGAACGGGATCCGCCGCACGCGCAGTCCCCTCAGCCTGTGCCTGAGGCCGCTTTGTGCTTTAGATCATGTGCCCCTTTGATCTCAGTGGCATCTGCCTCTTAGTGAATTTTTTTCAGGAAAACCTGTTGGGTTCTCCTCGTCCAGAAGTACTGGACAGAATACGTTACTGTGAATAGAACACCCGTCACGCTATTTAGAGCCCTAGCACGATACCCACAGGACTGTTCTTGAAAAAACAACGGTTCCTGTAAATTTGCTTAGGGACTGGGTACGTTTCAGCTGCTTACACAACCAGTCCCAGGTTTTCAGCCATCTGCCAACAGCAGCTGACTTGACTGTACTCATCACCTTTGCTTCGCCTTGTGGACAGCGTGGGTTTTCAAGAGATTTGTACCCTTTGAACCAGTGACCTATTGGAGGAAGAGGTCGGACTGTTTTCAAAAAGATTCTGTAATAAATTTTATGTGTGGCATATACTTATTTCTTGAGAGAGAATTTTAACTTATTGTTTTTATTTTATGATTGCATATAATGATAACCTGCTATTATTAATCTTTTTTTAAAAGAAATGTAAGAACTTAGGGCCTCACAGTCTGTATTTGGGGTCCATATTGAAATGCATGCCCAGCTGCATATCTTTTTAATTTTGCACTGCTCTTTCCTGGCAATTTGTTTTAATGACTATTGCAAAATGTAAAGGTACATGTGTGTCTGTTTTCAGTGATACTGCACTTTATAAAAGAGTATGAACAAAGCCAGCTAGTTTGTAAAGTGCACCATTTAGGGCATATGTACTGTACTTTAGCCATTTTTTTTCTCATTATCTACTTTAAATTAGTCCTCAGATCCCTCCTCTCCTTGGTAGAAAAGGGCATGTGGGGCCACGTCTCCGTCAGCCGCTCCTGCGCGGACGTGAGGAGAGACTGAGGGAAACCGCACTGAACACTGTGCTGCGTCTTGTACACTGTGTTGGGCCACGGTGAGGCGTTTGCTCCTGTGGTCGGATATTCTGTACATAGTATTTCAGATTCTAACGATGACTCGTTTTGAAACTTTTCTGTTAAATTTTAAATCTGGAAAGCATATTTTCTAAACTTACACCGAGCACTTTTAATGCTCAGAAGGTCTAATTCATACAGAAAACAAGTGTTACGTGATAAAGACGTTTCATTAAAAGATTGCTGCATTTTAAAATAAAGGTGAATTCATTCCCTATGCAAAATAAAACAAAAGGTGATAGGATACGTATGTTCCGTTCCTTTTAAAGCCGTCACGTGAATTGTGAAGACTGAGAAAAGTGAGTTTTGCTATGTTTACAGAAATCATGCATAAGGAGATAATGCCCAACCTGGTTATTTTATAGTTTTGTTCATGACAACCTCTTGAGCATTTGTTTGGAATTTGGGCATGATATTTATTTATTACTTAATTGAGGTAATAGCAGCATTAATTTTAACCAGTTACGAATTCTAAAAATATTGCACTCTATGTAATAGAATATTTATTACTAATTCAATGTATATATTAATAGCACAGGCAAAAAAAAATGGCAAATATTAAAATATTTTCAAACTATTATATTATCCTGTTGGTATTTTTGCCCAGAGTGGTTATTGGGCTTGTCGGTGGCCCGCCAGGCTACATCATGCTCATTGAGTCCATGAGCATTGTATACTCTGGCCTTCACTCATTCTTAACAATAGGAAATCTCATGTCAGTTATAACCACACTGTAGCTAGTTCACAGAAAGTGACTCCATCAGGCACAGTTTTATAATAATTAAGAAAATGCCTATGTACATCTGGAGCTGGGCTGAAGATACTAGCAAATGTGTGAGCTCTTCAAGTCATTTGTAAACCAATAGAAAATCTTAGTTGTAAAGTGCAAACCAAAGGGACACTCTTGCTGATAGGAAATGATCCAGAAAAATAGGCCAATAGTATGCTACTGATGGGTGGCACTGATTCCTGAGGTATATTGGAAACTGATGAGTTCCCCTGGCATTCTTTTCCTTGCCTCCTCTTCAGAGGGACGTGATGGTGGAGTGGGTAGCAGGACAGGTGGGGTAAGAGGAGGAAGGAACAGTGCCGCCACCCCCTCAGCCGAGGGCCCTCCCTGAACAGCCTCTGAACCAGTCAGAGTGGTGCTCCCTGACCACACTCCTCCTCATCCTGCTTACAAATTCCAAACAGACAGAGTGTGCTGCTCAGTCAGTTTCCAGTAGGGAAGCCCTGTGCACGCTGTTTGTTAATGTGAACCTTCATTTAAAATTCACCAAGCTTTCATTTAGTCACATCAAAAATAAAGAATAAAAAATAACTTCATTTAAAATTGTTAAATGAACAGACTGTCTGGCAATTAGGAGTACAAGAAAAGTAATGTAATAAAAGCAAATGTGGGCATTAAATTCTCTTTATAATAGCGACTTGGGGCATGGAGCCAAATCGCCCCCTTCCCTTATGGATTTCCCTGTATGGAGTTGTCACACCATCAAAAATCCTGATTCATGTAGTATATTTTGTAGCTATATGGGGCTAATTGAGAGGCAAGAACAAGAAAAGGAAAAGAAAACAGGAAAAAAAATAAGACTGATTTCATCCTAATCACAGTGCCAGATCCTGGGGCTGACTGAGTTCCTTCCCAAGTTAAATTAGCTCATTTGCAATTCATTCATTGATTCTTCCAACCCTCTTTAAAATAAGAACCCACCGACACAGAAACTCAGTCAATTTCAACATGTTTGTCTTAGAGTCACGCAGTCATCTACCTAGGACAAAATGCCTTTTAATTTTTTCCTTTATTTAGATTGCGGCTGGTTTCCTCAATATGTAAATGGCTACATTTAACTATAAATGCCTTTTAAAGAAGGATAGTAGGTTAGCAGTGACCTTTTTTTAATAAGGAAATTCCATTTGTACCTCATTTTGTTTTTTAAGTATATATTCAAACACTTTATAAAAGCACACAGTTTATTGTCTGCTTATTACCTTGTCCCATCTCAAACACCTTGTTATTGTCTCCTGAGAATCGGGACGCAGAGTGGTGGGTGTGTCTGAATCCTGGCCTTGCAGGTGCCTTACCCACCTGATCACTTTGGATGTTCTCCCAGTGACAATAATAAAAACACAATCTGGGTGTTTGTGTGATCACACTTCTAATATTCTTTAATATCTAAGTATAATTTAAATTCTTTTATGTCACATGCAGAATGTCAAAATAACTGTCTTACGGATGAATTTTTGTAACGTAATGAAATACCTCCAAATTGTCTAACTCTTTGGCCCCTCAGATGTGGTTTTGTTTTTTTTTAAGCTCCTCAAGTCTCTTACACCGTAACATCCCAGTTTCTAACCTTTAATTAATTACATACATCCCCCACGTGAATGTCCCTCTTCATAAAGGGTCTGACATTGAAGTGAACGAATTCGTGGCCTCTAATTTGAGATTTAAATGTGAGTCATCGTTCAGACTCAGAGAATGGCAAAGTGATCCCAAGCCAACAGGGAGGATGTATCAAATAATTGGTTTACCTGTGTTCTACCCAAAGAAAACAGCTACCACGGCAGCGTAACGGCTGTGCTTGCTGTCTCGTTAAGTGACTTCTTTAGGGAAAAATGTTCGCCTCAAGAATTGTTACTTCATTTTGTCTCTGTGGGGAAGTATGTGCTTTGGTTGAGGTGCCATCTTCATTGTAAGAGCGTTTGGCTGGTCTCCCTTCTCTCCCCGTCTTTAGCCTTTCTTCTGCTTGACCTGTCACAGTATTTCCTTTGAGCCCTTTTCTTTCTGTGCCTGGTGCCCAATTACATGTCTCAGTTAAGTAGTTGATCACTATTCAAGGTGCTTCCCCTGCCCAAGGCTGTTGTCCATCCCATTTTGTGAGTTTGTGAAGCAGGCAGGTGCCAGTACTTTGTATTTTTCTACCACTAGACTGAAAAGGAGTAAGAAATGAAGTGGCACCAAATATATCCGTCTTGGTTTCTTCATCTGAGTGCAGAAGAGGTGCTGTTAGTGATACCCATTTCCTTATTATTGTTACTTCTGACCACATGATGAAAAGCCCAATATTGTGTACCTAGAAGCAGATTGGGTCTTGGAAGCTGTTCCTCAGTCTTAATTTTCCTGGTGTATTTCTGCCGGGGTTGGTGGAAGAACATGCAGGTTATTGGAAGGAGTTGAATGCTTCAACTAGGTCAGGTTAGTATTTAACACAGCAGCTGCTTTCCAGAGCCTTGGAAACTGGGGTAAGCATCATGTTGTTTTCATGATCTTTTCCACTAATTTGTTTACTTCTATGCAGTTTTATTTCTTGGCTAAAAAAATCTAGTTTCATTCTTGCATCTCCTTGTATTGAGCATTTTTTATCTCATTTATGTTTGAGGCCCTCCTGTGTTTAAAAGGAGAAGACAGAAATAAAGACGTGGCATGACTTAACAAAAGAAATGTAAGTGCTATAAGTGGAATTCTTACAGCTTTAGTTTCCAGCAGGTCTGTTTATAGATAGATTGGAAAATCATTATTTCTCTTATTTGTTTGTTTAAAAGACCTATAAGGCTGTACTGTGGGACTCTTGACATTTTTAGCTGCAGTTTTATTTTTAACTTTCTGAGAGGCTGGCCATGTAAAGCATGCCCTGTTGTGTTAGAACAGATTGTATGACAGTTATCCTCAGTAAATACATGATGCTGTGCAGACATTTTATTATTCATGACAGTTTATTTTAGGTATGTTAGTGCTATCCTATTAACTCCAGTTATAAATACTGGTAAAAAGAAAGATTTTAAAATAACACTTCATGTTCTTTTGATAAATAAGAAGGAGAGATGTAAAGGGGCTACATTATATATAAAATTTGAGTCTTAAAATTTTGAAAAGTATCCTTAAATACTAAGCATGGATTTTAAAAAAAGAACACCCGTAGAAGAATCTTTAAAAGATTGACATTTTAACGGATAACAAGGATGCCTCTGTCTAAAACAGTGTGT